CTCCACTCCACTCCACTCCACTCCACTCCACACTTTCGTTCATGGCGATGAAGAGTATGTCATGTAGGTGCACGAGAGTATTTGCGGGCCAATGACGAAGAGCTTAGCCAAGAAGCCAACCCAACACCCCACCAATCCAACGCACCAGGTCTCGTGGCCGTTAAGCAACAAGAAGCTTTCCGATAGGAATATGCTCTACTCAAAGAATTTTGAGGTTTTGCGTCCTACTACTACGTAAGTCCACTGACGCCCGAAACAACGAAAACGACCGTTGCGTTCTCCCGCCTGATGTCTCTCACATGTTTATCTGAGCCTGATTCAACAAGTTGGCTACCGAGAGGTTAAGTACCGCACGAACAGGTCCACGCCACACGCTTGCCGCTGCAGCTGTTCGAGCTGCAGGCCGCTGTGGCAAACGCGCGCAAGGGCGCGGGTTTGCTACGTCGGTGCTCTGGAGCAACTCTGAGGAGCAGCGGCTGTGCGCTGCTTTGGCAAAGCCAAAGCAGAGGAGGCGGGCCGGAAGCGACGTGGGCTGCCCCGATGTGTACGATGAAGCTGGTGTGGTTGGCTTGGAAAGGAACTTATATGAACTTATTAGAATTTAAGCCAGGCAGGCTGGAACATATTTTTTGGTGACACCAAGCAGTGGTCATGAACCCATCATAGTTGAATGGCCCCTTGTCGGCTGAATGGACCCCGACGAATTCCGAATAAGCCACAGGGCCCCACGCGCCGCCGGACTCCAGAGCGAGCAGGCGCAACGCAGTCACTGTGGACAGTGATAAGGCCGTGATAGGGCTTCAAAACAGTATAGTTTGTGGAATGAAAACCATTTGAAGGTTTTGCAACAGGGTCAACAGGGTTCAGATTCGCAGAGGACGCCCCAACTCTTAGTGGAAGGGTAGGATGTTGTTGGGTGGCGTGGAGCTAATCCGAAAACTCTGTCTCTCTCTCTCTCTCTCTCTCCGTGTCTCTCTCTCTCTCTCTCTTCTCTGTCGGTTGGTGGCGTGGAGCCAAGCCCAGAACTTCGAACCCTTCTTCTCTAGTTCACCCTATTAGACTATTGGAAGACTCGCAGGTTCTTTATACCAGTCCAACATGGTGGAGTTCTAGTTTTTTTGCTCCAGTGTGGCTGCGGAGGGAGAGCCCCACGTAGACCTGGGTGTAGGGACCCAACGGGGCAAACCTTCGGCGCGACCAATGACATCGCAAAAGCAATAAGAAGCCGTTGTCTTGAGCTACCATGATGTGCACAGCGCACGTTTCTGTAGGCGTCGTTTTCTTCCTCGTCGGGGTGGAGGACCAAGTCACAGCTCCGACGAAAGTTGGCGGCGACGGAGAAGGACGCGCGACGAAGCATGTCGGGTTTGTGTATGGCAGACAGGAAAGCTGCCACGTGCAAGGGCGAAAGCGTTTATTTATCATTGTTGTATGTTTGAACCCCGAATTTCAAGTTTTGCTGTGGTGGTCTGACAAGCAAATGTAAAGAATTGTGTTCTTCTGTTGAACGCATGCTTGAGGGGCCCTATCAATGAAGATGACCATTGGGCAGCCAGCCTAGCGCTGTCCAGCAGTCGCGCCACCTACATACTCTCAACACCACCAATGTTGCATGCGCTCTAAAATAAGGCCTTGGGGCCCCGAACCATTGAACTAGGCAAAGCCAAGCGTTAAACAACGGTTGCAATTGCAATGGAAGAGCTTTCCATGTGCCCGCAAGGAGATAGCTGTTGCGAAGGCCATGTCCCAGGCGTTGAAGCGGGGCTTGGCAAACCAGGAGGCCAGAAGCGGAGTCGAAAGGAAAATTGTCTTAAATGTGTGAGCCTGGATTTCTTTTCATACGAAACTTCCAGCGCGCAAGTTTAAATGAAGCTGAAAACAGAAATACGCATTCGAGCGCAGCAGCGCCGTGTTCTCATCAATTATGGGCGCTTGCCAAAACTTTGAACCGCTCTGGAGTTGCTCCTTTGGTCTTTCAATCTCTCCATCAGGTGGAGCTGCAGGACCTCGGGCGTTTTGGTGCAGGTCCTGAGGTCACGCAGACGCCGAAGACGCTTCCCCAGCTCCAGCAGCAGCTACCACCTCTCCGACGCCAACTCGGAGCAAAAAGAATGTCGCGTGCAGTGTGGATCGATGGCTTGGCAGAAAACCTTTTTACGCAACAGGTTAGATTGAACATTCAGATTAGATTCTTTTTGAAATCCGTCTCAGGGACAACAGGTCAGGAGAAATGCCAGATAGAATGCCAGAAGATGTGCCAGATAGAAGGCCAGAAAGATTGTCAGAAGATCTGCCCGCTAATCACAGAACTGCCGGGAGATGTGGCAGTTAGAGTGCCCGAAGATACGCCAGACAAATTGCAGAAGATATTCCAGATAGAATCAAGATATGCCAGATAGAGTTTTCAGAAGATATGCGAGATAGAATGCCAAAAAATTATACCAGTTGGAAAACCAGAAGGTATGCCAGAAAGGATGCCAGGTAGAATGCCAGAAGATATGCCGGATAGAATGAAGAGAAGGAATGTCAGAAGAAATGCCAGAAAGGAAACCAGAAGATGTGCCAGGAAGACTTCCAGAAAGTATGCCGAATAGAATGCCAGAAGACATGATAGAATGCCAGACCTGCCCAGAAGAGATGTCAGAAAATATGCCAATTAGAATGTCGGTATATTTGCCACCAAGAATGCCAAATCATATGACAGAAACGATGTCCGAACATTTGTCGGAACAAGAGGCAGGTTTGATGGCAGAACAAACGTTAAAACATATCACCCCGTATAAATTATGTAGTTCTTGACGGTTGACGTTTGAGTTGCGTGTGGGGCAACGAACAGATTTGATTTCCACAGGCCCAATGTATCTTTTCGATTAAAGCAGGGGCCGCCCTGAAATTCAGTTGGACCCTTTTCACCAGCTCTTTGATGACGGGCAGATAACAGTGTCAGAACACAAGGCGATTGAATTGCTGCGGAAACTTGGTTGGGGTGGCTGCTGATGCCACAGGGCCTGTGCAAACAACCGCGCCAACCAAAACAAACATCGATTTACAACTTGCTTTCCACATGTGCACATGTTGGCCGCGGCTACACCCCGAAAATTTCAATTTACGCACCTTTTGGTGCGAGGGATAATTCTGTTTCTTTGTGGAGCTGCCAAAAGTCGTGTGCTCTTGTCGCTTGCGGTGAGACCACGTGCGCATGGGGAAGGAGCTTACTGGTCTCCCAATTGAATTTTCCTGCATTGCACCTGTAATGTCGTTTAGCTAAGTGGACGAAGACCTAATTCGGACTTATGCACAAATTAAAACCTATACCTGGGGGTGAACCAAGAGCTTTCCTCATATTCCTGGGTTCTGATTAACAACCCACTTCAGTGACAAGCGCAGAAAAGAATCTGAGGTTGGCCAATGAGGTGGCATTGGCTGGGAAGTGGGACAAGACAGCGCTGGTCGTTTGCAACTGGGAAAACCAAAATCGTCAGGACATACAAATTCCTTAATTATACATAAAGTATATATATATATATATCGTCGTCGTAGTATTGCAATCTGGGGAACATTTCAAAATTTTCAGCTACTCAATGACAATCGTTGGCCCACTTTGCGATGTTATCAGATGCCAAGTCTGTTTTAACCCAGGTGTTCCCGTCATAAACATCCAGCATTTGTGAGCCGCTTTAGCTCGTGACAGGTGACATACTGACATGTTAGATTGTTCAACGCTAATTTCAAGCACTTCAAACGTCTTGACAAATGAAACATGTTGATGTTTGTTTTGTGTTTGGTGAACATTGTGACTTCGCCAATCTTGTCTTTAAACTTCTTGAACCAGACTTCACTCAGCCGAGGCAATGGTCATGCAAAAGAAGCAGACACATTTTTCAATTACTCAGGTTTCGGGCAGATCGATGCGTTCCTCGGCACAAAACCATTTGTTCAGCCGGAGAGTCGGAAGATCTAGTCCTAGATCTGGATACTGACCACAGTCAAGTAGTTTGATCCTTGAGGTGTGGATACGAAGCCCAAAATGGTGGTGGATCCCCGACATCGGGATGACCACCTTGTTTTCCGTTTGTGGTGTGGGGTTTTGTGCCCAAACCTGGTTGGTGATCAGGGGTCGTACCCTGTCCAGGTATTTGGAGTCTGGGAGATACTCAACAGTCTCTCCACTCATGAGCCTCTCTGCGTATTGTTCGGTGTCTTGATGAAACAAGGATCATTTTTGGATGTCACGTAGATCCAGAAGAGATGATCTATTTTCTTTGTCGAGAAGAACTGCCTGGCCCGGCTTGACCGGTTGACAGGCCCAAGACTTTGATTCGCCCAACCGGTCGAGTGTCTTAGTTACCGAGGAAGTGGGTCTTGGGAGAGACCACCATCAAGAAGACCATGTCGGTGGAGGATTGAAGTAGCTGTGCGGTGGGGTCGAACTGAGTCGAAGTCTCCATTCATTGGTCCGGGCTGATTCTACTCCACCGTATTGAAGGAAGAGTATTGCAATCAAGCTACTGTATATAATGTGCAGACTCCCATGAACCAGGTAATGAAAGAAAACACATAGATATACACAAATTTTGACAGCAGTCTAGAGTTTTCCTTTGAGGGCCATTTTGTTAGCCCAAGCTGTGATGGTTGGGAAGGGAAACTGGCTTTTGCCTCTGCGGGAGTCACCACAAAGTATCTAAGTCCATCTTCAAGACCTTCGAGATGCTTCTTTTGGGAGTCATGCAAATCTTCATCGGTTGGAACTGGGATGGGTAATGGGTCATTGGGTGGCTGGCATGGTTGGTCCCACCCCCCAAGAAACATGAGAACCAACGACACAGGGGAAAGAGTAAGGGCTTTGTATGCACAGTTTCGCAGCGCGTTGATGTCGTTGGATGCCTGCTTGCCACTGGACATAACAGCAGGAATCTGAGTGGCTCCTGCTGTTTTGTGCCATGCTGCCAGGGTTGTGGGAAGCCCGTGCTCTTCTGTGTGCAGTCGACACCTCCCCAAGGATTTTGTGGTGTTCCAGCTTTCCGAACACAAGGCCATAGCATCTGAACGAGTGTACATGTGTACATTGTGCAACGCAACGCCGCCGCATGTCCAACGCTGACACTATTATAGATTATAGAGTGTTCTGTTATAGTCGATTCATGTATGCTCTAGCTATACACCACACGGTTTCAGCGTGCCGTTCACCAGAAGAGTTTCAGTCGACCTGAAAACTCGCCGCACCTTCAAGCTGCGATCCGTCCGACAGGCGTTAGCCGCACCAATCAACCGCTGGGCTGTGAGTTCAGTGGGGGTGTCTCATCTGTGTCTTACAGCGTTTTGTACACTGGTTTATCATATGGGGGTCCTTCTAAACCACCTTTTGGGGATTGTGCCATCTACTGTGAAACCACTGTAAGGATCTCCCACCGACATCGTCAGGTCGCGACCCAACCCCAATAGGACGCAGCTCCGAAAACCGACAGACGGATTCGACGTTTCAGGGAGCCCATGTCCCCAGTCCGACCGAAGAAGCAGGAGATGCAAGAGGAGTTAAGACGAAGAGTGGTTGGAGCACTCAAACACGGCCTTCCAATGCATGTGGCCATGGCGCATCTGGGCAGAAGATGTTCAGTGGCAAGTCAAGCGGCGAGTTTTTAAGCGGTTTTTAGCTTTGGGCAAGTGACAGAGGGTGCTTGGAAATAGGAAGGCCATGGGGGATTGTATGGGGCCCTTGTATGTTCTTCAATCGCGATCTGTATGGGGCGGCCAGGAAAAGTTTGAAGTGAGGCGAGCTCCCAGCCATGTCTGAGTGTCTCAGTGGCCATGTCTGCTTGGTCTCGGCGTGGTTCGATGGTCCACTCCGCTTTCGCCCAGCGGAGCCCGTGTCCAGCTCAGGAACACCGCAGTGGCCTTCAAAGAGAAGTTCTGTTCGGAGGGCAAACTGCCTCCGGTCTTTTTTAAGCTCAAGGACCGGAGTGACATGGATGGACCATAGAGGACGAGTTTGGAGAACCCAAGTACCAATAGAGGACCGTCGACAGTGTTGCATGATTAGCAGCCGAAAGTAGCAAGCACGAATACCTAGGAAATTCTGGTAGACAATAGGACTTGCTTTTTTGGGAAATTCTCGAGGGCCCCTAGCTGGGTGTTTTGAATCAATGCATCTTGGGTTCCATGTCTGGTCCAAGGGACCCAGAACCAGTCTTGCCCAACACGCGAGCGCATGCAAGCTCCAACACACTCCAACTCCCTGAGGATGCCACTCCCACTGGATGGAGTCATACACTCCCTGAAATACTACGTGTAAGTGGATGGCATGGTCCCTTGGATGACCATGCCATCCGAATACCAAACAGGTGGTGAACTCCACTAACCCATGAGGATTTCAAGGAGCGTAGTGGCCTTTGAATGGCTTTTGCCACAGCTCAACGATAGACTCTAGACTGTATCATTTGCAAGCCTTCCTAGCCCACAAAATCAATCAAGCCTGCCCTTCTGGGTGAAGGTGTCCAGGAAATGACCAGTCTTCAGTCCGAATATCTCGTGAAAGGACTTCAAAGGCGATCCTGAGAAGTCAGAGCTGCTGTGCCGAGTTGGGGGGTTCTCGCCGTGGGTTTCTGCCACCAGGTGTGCCTTGGGGGGCTTCCAATTCACTGCAGTTGATAAAGCTGCACTTCAACATCGGTGAAGCCGCACTAGTTCTCTTCTTGAGCAAACATTTCCCTGTTTTGTTGTTCCGGTCATTGTCTTTAAACGAATCCTACCGATTCCCCTCTCCAGCTTCTCCAAACTCATAGCAGATCGACCAAAAGATTGGTGAAGAAAGGGGCTCGCCCTGCTGCTCTGAAAGGGAGGTATCAATGGTTTCCTGAAGAGTGGCCTAGTCCTACTCTTGAGTAACTGAGGCTGGTTCCAACCTTCCCAGGTTGGGGTGTAGAGAGGACTCGTGCGGTAAATGAAGAATGATATACTGGGTCAGAGGGACATCAAGCAATGAGAGAGGACTTCAAGCAATCCATGTTCTCTTCATTCCTCGACTGGCCAAGGGTATTCACCTTCCTCGACCTCCGCTCAAACAGGCTGCCGATATATAGTGATATATAATGTGTTCCTTTGTTTTTTTTGGTTGGTGATACTAGCACATCTGGTCGTAGATAGGGTTGTTGGGCAGCAGTGATATGCAGGTGGAACATGTGGCTTGACTCAAGACCTCCACACCAGCACAGAGTTTTTCTTCTCGCGCGAAGCCTGGGCGAAAAGCCTATCCCTTCGTCCCATCCGGACGTCAGAGCTGGCCAATGAGGGAAGAGCATCCCTACCGGAAGATGGTGACAGAGGAGGACCTCAAGGATTGGCCTGGTGCCTTTCCGGGACGCATGAAGGAAGGCGCGCGCAGAGTTTTGGACGTTTTTTTTTGACGTTTTGGCGTTTGTGCACTTTTGTGGCAATTTCCAAAGTGGCGGTTTCGATATCGATTGACCAAGGCTATTTTAATTTTGAGCCAGTTTTGAGGGAAGTATAATATATATATATATATATTTATTGCAGTTGACACGGTCCTTCCTGTCGTTGTTGTTGTTGTTGTTGTTGTTGTGGTGGTTATCGTCGTCATCGGGAAGAAACAATTCTTTTAAGCCTGCTCCTGGCTGGCTGAGTGAAATCATTGAGGTCCATTGTTGGTCCTGTAGCTACTCCTTGCATTTGGAGGCTTTGTGAGCCCTTCTGATACTGATCTCCCTGGCTCTGGCGAGAGGAGGGCGACTCACCCACAACATGAACCTCCCAAACCATGCGTTTCTCGGAAAATCGTTTTCCAAACGTCTTTATTCCGGAAATCATGTGGATTTCGTCCCAACGTCGCCATATCATCTTTTGCGAGGCTACTACTTGGTGGTCACCACGGATTTTGACCTCAAGAGCGCCAAAGAATTCCTCTCAGATGCCTTGCCTTTTCTGGACGACATGGCCATCATCGAGATTGATCCCAATTCCTTTGGCTAGCAAAGGAACTAAGCCGACCAAATTCACTTTGAAAAAAGGGTCTGGAGAAGTGGGAGGGGTGTGGTTATTGCATTCTATCACCACATGTTGCGCAGACAAAACAGCACTACTCAAGGCCTCTTCTCTTCATTGTGTACGGAAAACCGATTTCTGAGGCACTCACAAGTGGAGCAATTCCACAGATGCACAAGATTCAACTGCCCAGAACGAACGTCTGATTTTCGAGTTGGAGGCCATCGCTATTAGCTTGGAGGCCATGGCTATTAGCTTGGAGGCCATTGCTAGTAGCTTCTTGTTACTACTAGTAAGGCACCTGTTACTACTAGCGTGGCACCTGTTCCTGTAGAACGTCTGAATTGCGATGGTTTCCATGTCTTGGAGCGAGGTGTGCGGGGGTTCTGACGCGTAGGCACGCGGCTGTGGAAATCCGGTCGCTGCCACGTAGGCTGTGCTGTGCGTACCCCAAAAACCAACAAAAACACCAATAAGCTCATTCATAAACGCTGTCTGCACCAAGTGACGACATTTTTAGCTGCTATGTCTGCGCTAAGTGATGGGATTTGCCAAGTGAACCCCTGACCCCGTGACTGCAAGCTCTTTGGAGCAATCCTTTTAAAGGTGTCCCTTCAAGGCAACATCCTGCAATCGGAAGTGAAACGAATCACAATCCATGCAAAAAGGCCTCGACCTGGTACGCGCGGTTTTGACAGGTTTTGACCAGCGAAACCAATGCCTAGGTCATGGTTGACTGCTTCTTTGCCGTGGACATGGTCCTGAGACGGGATGGCCCAGTTAGAGTTGACCAGGGGAGACATGGACCTGGCGACTTCCAAAAAGCAGCCGACGTGTAGGGTCCCCATGATTGCTTCTTCTTGGAGTATTCCTTGGTCTATTTGCTTGAGGTTCCACAGCTTCACTGGAAAAGGTCCCGACAAGACCCTCGGCCATTAAACCCCTCCAGTCGCCCCCCAACCACCGACGAAGTCCATTTCCTCACCTTCGATGAAGTGGTTTTAGTTCTCGTCCGGCCTCCCATGTCAGAAACAACAGAGGAGAAAAACAGCTATCCCATGTCGGAAAATACTTGACGAGGGTTTTTTCGTGGAATCCGGACCCAACGTCTTGAAACCATCGGCAGATTCGGTCGTTTTGCTCGGACCTTCGCTCGAGGCTTCCGGACGGCCTTTTTGGACCCGAATGGCTTGCTGAACACGGTGCCCTCGGAGATTGCCAGGTGGGGAGTCTTCACTCGCATCAAAGCCACCTGGGCGGAGGTAGTAGGGTAGGGTGAGGAGCCAAGCGGAGAGTGGAACCATAGTTAATTTATTGACAATGATTCGATTATATTCGATTTATTTATTTATTCATTATTGTTTTTTTTTTTTTTTTAATATAAATAAGGGGTCTTATCATGGTTTATGCATCACTGATTTTGGGGCTCAGTTCAAGACGACCAAAGATCTGAAGGTGCCGGCCTTTTGGGGTTTGGACGCCCCATCCTATTGCAACTCGATAATTTTAAGAATAGGTCCAAACCCAACGCCCCAAAACCATGGGAAGCTGAACATATTTTGCAGATTTTTAAAAGTCAATTTTTACTCCAATGTCTCAGCATGCTGATGTACTGGTAGTTCGGTGACCCTCCCAAAACCAAGCATTGATTTTGGTCTAAAGTGTGAGATCTGCCCGACATTACCTGCTAATCGTCGTTGTTCGTAGAGGTTTCTGTTTTGTCTTTTTTTCATGATTTATCGGGATGGGGGGCGCAGGTGCCATGAAACACCTGAAGCCAGGCACTATTTGAAGACCTACTTCCTGGTGGACTTCCTCTCCACGGCGCCCATTGATCGGGTGGTGGAGGCGGGCCGAAGAGGGCCAAGGCTACACCCACCCACCCGCCTGCCCGGTCCCATCCATCCACCACATCCAACATGGAACGGAGCAAGGACTGTGGGAGGAGGGAGACGGTGGGGTAGGCGAACTCGTCGCACAGGGCCCCTGCACCAAAGGCTCCACTGTTTATGTGTTGATGCTGGATGACTCTTGTGCTTTTGCAGCATGAGCACTATGAGTGGGGTCAAGTTGAGCAGTGCTTGTACTGGTCATTGGCTTGCCATAGCCACCTGGCATACAGGTGGTTTCGGGTTGGAACATGTGTGTAATTAGAGCATATTGCCGTGGCCAATTCAGCTTTAGTAGAGAGTGAGGTCTTGTGATTGAACATCTGCCGTTCTGAGAGCAGCAGAACCTGACTCGGTAGGCATGGGGAGTGGCCAATTGAACACAGACACCTGGCACAGTGGAGGACCCCAAACTGGCGCATCGGCGGGCGAAATTGGATCTTCCAAGAACCATTTTTTCTTTATATAACGGGTCTTTATTCCAGCCTCTGTCCGCGCTGTCCTTCCAAACTGTTGTGGGACAGAGGTTTACCAAAGAACCATTGGTTTTGCTAAGGATTTTAGTACAAGAACAGGTCGTTCAGGGACGTCCACACCTGCTGGTGTCTCCGCCCAGGCGGTTGCCACGGAGGCGTCCAACAGCAGCGTGCTGCGGACGCTGAAGTTGGGGGCACCTGGTGATGCTTCTTGCGACCGATTAGAATCGTGGTAATTGGAAGGTGGGCGGTGTTTTTGGCCCACCTGGTGTTCAAACAGAACCTTGGTGATTGGAATGGCAACGATGCATTTTTGAGCTGATCCAGGCCGATCAACCCAAACATTTCTTGGAACCGTGTGTGGTGAATGAGGGGAATTGTGACAAACATCCACAGGATAGATCCCCCATGAACACATGATAGATCCCCCAATTAAAGATTCAAGCGGGGGCAGCTATGAACAGTATTCCCCTCTCAAGTGCTTTGGATTCCTTTCTCCATCATATTGTTGTAGAGGGAAAGGTGAGCGCACGTTCTCTGCTGCGTGTGTGGTGACCAGTCTTGTACCATTGTCAGTCTATACCATTCTGACACGTCACGTTTTGTTTTTGTGATAGCCAGGCCAATTCGAGTCCATGTACACTCACAGTCCTGGCCTGCTGGCGAGCTCTATGACTGAGCGGGCGTAAAGGGTGGTTTGCAAGACTTCACCCAAACAGATGGCCTGGTGACGTTTCTTTTTGCGTCACCAGGGCCGGAAGCAGCCTTCTCCTCCAGGTCGTGTGGCCTTGGGGGTGTCTTCTCCTCATGTCGTTCGTGCACCACTCGGGGACGGTCATGCCACCTGGAGCCCCGAACTCATCCGGAGGTGGACCTCATCGAAAACGTCGGTCGATTCGGCGTCGATGCTCCGTGGTCCACGGATCGGCCTCCCGGTGCCATGACCCACGGCCCACGGCCATGACTCATCCCACGTCCAGCGCATCTGGGACAGGCTCACGCGCTTCGCGCGGCTCTTCCGCTTGATGAAGCCAGCTGGCTGAGAGGGATGGGACTGGAAGGGGCAGGTCAAACTAAGAAGACAGTGCAGGTTGTGTGGTGAAGTGACCTAAAAGTGGAAGGCTGGACCTGGAAGCAGATGGGGATTGTTTTAGGACCATCTTTCACCAAGCAGTGAGAACTATATATATATATACAAAGTTATACACATAAATACGATCTTTTGGAAAGCATGGCTTGAGTGGAAGACTCTGCTGCTGACGGGCTGGTCGGACTTCCTCCACCGAAGAAATCCTCGCCGATGACCAGCGATGACGTCATCCCCGAAGGGCTGGATCACCTGCCATGCGGGAAACGCTTTTTTCACAGCACCCCGAGGGGTGCCGTTCGCGGTGGACAGATGGATGTCCTTGTTGGGTGCATGTTTCTATTTTGATCGGCACTGTTTTGCGAGGCGCCGGTGGCACTTCTGACAACTGTCCGATGTGTCCATCTGTGCCGAGCTGGAGACTCTGAGAGTCGGTCCCTCCGGTCTTGGACTGCACCGAGTCGGTCGGTCGATGAGGTTGGCCAGGATGCTGAAGCTCTTCAAACTCGTTGAGTCAGCTGAGTGGGGGGCCCGGCGTAACTATGGGAGATACCAAAGCAAACGGACTCAATTTGGATCAATTTGGTATCTTCCCTCAACTTGCCCTGGGCTTCCTAACTTGTTCTTATATAAAGTCTTATAGACTCTTCAATTACATCCTTACAGACTGAGCGTTCGTCACATGGCCAGCATCGTTTCTCGTTTCGATCGATGTTTCTTGAGGTTTCTTGGTGGTATCGGTTGCTTGTGAGTATTGGAGGGTGAACCTGGAAACGACCGGCCACGTCGTTGGTTCCGGCGTTGACATGTGGGCGTTCATTGGATCTGATAAAGAACACTGATCGGCAGATGTGCGAATCTGAGCACCATGAAACAAATCAATGAAGCAACTAGTAAAAAGGGCTCGCTATTTGCAGCAAGGACGCTACTAGTAGCTCCTGGCCCTACTACTAGGAACAAGAAGCTACTAGTAACAAAGGGCATCGCTACTAGTAGCAACATAATCAAACATCACCAAGGACCATTCATAGTCTTGCCAAAAACCACGAAATCGTTCTTACGTGTGGCTTTTCTTGCGTTTTGGGGAGCGCTTTAAGAATAATTACAAGCGCTGCTTGCGCTTGTTGTGAAGGTGAAGGCTTTCAGGCTGTGGCTGAAACCAATGCTCCATTTGAGGATGCGGTGCCAACTCCCCAGGGAGGCACATGGTTCTACAACTGGTGGGGCATGGGACTATCTTGAAGAACAAAGACATGAGCTGCGGCGGACATGATGAAGGAGCACTAGTGGTCACTAGTTGAGCAGCATATCCCGTTCTTTTCTGACGAGGCAAGCGAAAACCCGAGTGTGAAATACTCGACTTGTCGAGGTCCTCCGTGGAGGTGTCTCCACTCATCCTGCGGCTCATGGTCTTGCCCGGGCCCCTACAGAACTGTGTCGTCGGATGGAGAGTTCCTGCCAGGCAGCGTGTGGCATGGGGAAGACGGGAGGGCTTCCAGATGAGTTGGGGATGCAAATGACTCGGAGGAGAAAGTTTCCTCGAATCCATGAAACCTCGGCTTGGTGGATGAGTTGTTTTGTTTTCTTCTTACAGTCTATAGTAACAGTTTATACATGT